TGGCTTGTAAGTTCATCTTTTCCAGAATTATCATGATGATATCCAGTCTTGATGATAAGTTAAATTGCACTGTACACATCACTACTCTTTTATTGTTTTTAAAAAATTATTTATTTGAACGTCAGCGTGAGAGAGAGAGAAAGAGAATTTTCCACCCACTGGTTCACTCCCCAGATGGCCCCAGTGGCCAGCACTGGGCCAGGTCAAGGCCAGGAGCTACATCTAGGTCTCCCATGTGGGTGGCAGGGGTCCAAGTATTTGGGCACAGGCAGAATTGAGCTTTCTACTCTAACTTCACTCTGCAAACACTCATCCTCTATCCCTTTCTTCAGCCAGCAGCTCCTTTCTCTGAATCTTCATGTTTTGTGTTCTGTACAGTGAGAAATGCTTCCTTGGGTACTGAGAGAAGGAAGAAGGACACACACAGAAAATGCACCCATAGGTACTCTGAGCAATAACCCTGGACCCATACAGGGTCCTTTCATGCATCAAAGAGAGGGAGGGAGGGAGGGAGAGGGACAGAGAGAGAGGAGAGAGACGCAACAGTCTTCCACTTGCTGATTCACTTCCTAAATGGTCCCAACAGCTAGGGCTAAGCGGATCCAAAGCTAGGAGCCAGGAGGTTCCTTCAAGTCTCCCACATGGGTGCAGGTGCCCAAGGACTTGGGCCATCTTCCACTGCTTTTCCAGGCCAAAACAGAGAGCTGGATTGGAAGTGGAGCAGCCAGGACTTGAATTCTTGCCCACACTGGGATGCCGGCACTGCAGGAAGTGGCTTTACATGCTATGCTACAGCGTCAGCCCCCACATAAACTTTTATTCTGTTCATAGAAATGTTATAATTTTTATACATTTTTTCACATCCTGTTTTCCTATACTTAAAAGGTTTGTATGGACACAATAGATGATCTTAGAATGCCTCTCCTTGGTGTGTAACTTGGGAGAAAGATCAAGCACCCAAAGAAGAGAGAAAGAAACCTCTTTAACTTGCCATGGATGCCTGGGCACCTGAAGTGGGTGGAGATGTTGATGTCACTGCACCCTTGGGTGTGTGCTTCCCAGGGGCAGCTGTGCAGAGTGGAGGGGAGAGGTGGGTAGAGGGTGGGGTGTATCTTGGGGAAAATGAGAGGTCTTGATGTCATCAGTGGGGAGTGTCTGATGTTGATCAGGCAGCACAGGGCTACTGGTTAGGCAGCCACTTAATGACCAATGATCCCAGAGCTGTAGAAGTAGGCCAGAGATGCTGTTAGAACTTGACTTGGCAGAGCTGTGTGGAGTGAGCTCAGGGCTATGAACAAGACAGTTGATAAGGGGGAAGGGGAGTGTGTGTGTCCTCTGGGAGAGTCAGAATCCTCCAATTTCCTGCCTGTGGAGGAGAGACCTTACCTGTGAGGGGACATAGTGTGCAGTCTGAGCCAGCAAAATTTGTAGTAGTAGAGGAGCTGAGTTTCCCCTTGTCTGGCATTTCTTATTTAATTGATAGCCCCCCTGAACCTTTTATTTAAGGTATACAAACTTAATGAATTTCATATATACAAATTTAGGAACATAGTGATTCTTCCCATCCTACCCTCCCTCCCACCCGCACTCCTACCCTTCTTCCTCCTCTAATTGTGATTTCAATTGTCAGGGCCTGCAGTTCCTTGAGAGTTCTGTAACCACACCCATCACTGGTCACCTCTCCTCACACTCACCCAGCCTTCCCCACTATGCAGAAGGGGGCAAAACACCTCCAAGTCTTCACCCACCTGGGCCAGATGTTTCAGATATCTCACCTGGCCACGTCTCCCTCCTGCTTCCATTCTGACCCTCTGTCATGGGCACAGAATCTCACCAACTTGCAGACAATACCCAGTGCTGGGCCTGCAGCTTAGCCAATAACACACTTGATTGTTCCTGCAATATGGAGAGAAAGACCTTCAGAGAGGAACCTTCTCTTCCAGGGGACTCTGAGTACCCAGTGAGGGTCCTGGATGAAGCCTAAGGCCAAGGGCATGGCTTCTCTGGCTCTCCAGGGAACACAGGTCAGCTTAGCATGGGTTGTTATGCATGAAAATCTCCCAAAAAGTTCAGAGAAGGTTGAGATGTCCATGTGGCCTGCTGTAGTCATTGTTCCTCCTTCCCTTAGGACAGCAGCAGTGAACAAGGCTGAAGGTTCATAGGGGGTGGCTCCCAAAGGACAGGCTCTCACCATGGATCTCATAGGGATGTCTACTCAGCTCCTGGGGCAGGGCTGATGGGGCTTCTGCACCTCCCCCCCCCCCATATAGGGTCAAGCAGAAAATGTCCTTAGAACAAGCAAGGTGCTTTTTAAAGTCTTCCTAGTTACAGCTTTCGCACAGGCTGTGGTTGTTTTCTGCATTCCGTGAAAGCCCCTTTCAGAATCCAGATAGGCATTCTCCAACTTTGAATTTTTTTTAAGATTTACTTATTTATTTGAACATCTGAGTTTCAGAAAGAGAGAGAGAAAAAAAAATCTTGAACTCACTGGTTCATTCCCCAATTGGCTGCAACAGCCAAGGCTGGGCCAGGCCAAAACCAGGAGCCAGGAGCTTTGTCCAGGCCTCCCACATGGGTGGCAGGACCAAGCACTTAAGCCATCATCTGCTGCTCTTCCCAGGCCATTACCAGGGCTATATCAGAAGTGGAGCAGCTGGGACAGGAACCAGTGCCCGAACAGAATGCTGGTGTCACAGGCAGCAGCTTTATCCCCTATACCATGATGGCCCCAACTTTGAATTCTTGAAGTAGGGGTGCTGCAGCAACAAGAATTAGCTCTCCTGCCCGAAAGAACTAAAAATAACAGCAACCACAGCGACAGACAAAATAGAGTATTTTCAAGATCCTTGACAGCTAGCAAAAAAGAAGTGACAGGAACGCAGCGGGGGAGCCCTGTCATTGCTCCAACTCACTGTCCTCAGAGAGTTTCCAAGATAAACAGAGGGAGAGGAAGGTGAAGATGGGCCCAGTGGGCCCTTTGGAAGGAGGACACCGAGCTGAGAGGCCAAGAAAGACAAAGTATCATTGAGTCTGTAGGGGGCGCCCGGGGGGGGGGGTGTCACAGAAGGCGCCTTCTGAGCACACAGCACAGTGTGACCAGGCGTGCACACAGGAAACCACCTAGTGTAGGGAAGTTGTTTCAAAAGCAGAAACCAGTGCCTGTCCCTCACTCAGGGCCATAATAGTGACTGTTTCCAAAAGACAGACTTTTTCAAAAAACAAGCAAGCACGCAAACACACAAAACCCCTCCGTGCTCCATTCAGCCAGCACCTCGCGCTCCTCCCAGGGCCCCAGAGCGCCCAGAGCCCCACCCCAGGGCCTCACCGCGGCCCTCAGCCTCCGGAGCCGCCGCGCTCCCAAGGCCACGCCCACCGCCGCGCGGCCCGGCGCTTTCCCGCCCTCCGCAAGCCCCGCCCACCCACCCGTTGCCCTCAGCCCCTCACACAGCCCAGGCCCCTGCGCCCCGAGGGCGCCATCGATGACCCCCAGCCCGGCCTGCAGGCCGCCGAGGGCTCTGGGGGCTGCCGCCCCCCTGGGGAACCCGGATGCGGACCCCGCTTCAGAAAACAGAGCTGTGGACAATGGAGGACCCGCGCCAGGGCTCCGGAACGGGGACAGCGGTGCGGGGTCACTTGAGGGCCGCCTTCCGGAACCGGAGTCAGAGGAGAAGACAGGGAACCGCGGACGCGGGGCGGACCCCGCGCCGAGGGACAGGGTTCCAGGAGGACGGGCACCAGCCCCAGGCTCAGGACGCCGCTCCTCGGGAGGAGGATGCGGGAGCCGCGCCCACAGCTCCCGGGAGGGCGGGAAGGGCCGGCCCCCTGGAGGAGGCCGCGGGGCTGCGGAGCCCGGGCGGCAGGGGGCGCTCTCCGGGACCACAGCCTCCTGCTGTTTGTAACTCCAGGCCTTTCATTCTTACTGTTGTGTTTATTCATGGGAGAGAGAGAATTACAGAGAGGGGAGAGGCAGAGAGAAAGGTCTTCCATGCTCTGGTTCGCTCTCCAGATGGCCACTACAAGGGGTCTCCCAGGCAGGAGCAGGCCCCAAGCCCTCGGGCCATCTTGCATGGCTTCCCCAGCCCATTAGGAGAGAGCCAGAACGGAAGAGGAGCAGCCGGGACAGGAACCAGCGCCCATGGGGGAAGCCGGCCCTGCAGGCGGAGGCTTAGCCCACGAGGACACAGCACAGGCCCGTCCCACGGCGTTTCCGGTGCTGTGCCGAGAAACTGACTTGAAACTTAGCAGACTCCAGGAGCTAGAATCCTGCTGTCTTTTCTCTTAGAGAGAGGAGGCCTTGCCTCCTGCATGGGGGCTTGTAGTGTATAACTTTGTTGCAGGCAGAAGTCTCTGAGGGTTAAAGTGCAGTTAAGGAAGTGAGGTTAAGGTGGCTGCAGGTCATCCCGCACTGTCTTGGGCTCAGAGGCTCTGGAGCTGGTGCAGTCACACTAAGGAGAGGAGCCCAGGAGCTGCAGCGTGGGGGGGACAGGGCGTGCACAGAAGGGCAGGGTCCAGCAGCCAGGTGGCACAGCAGGTTAGAGCCCCAGCCTGTAGCCCCAACCTCCATGGGGGCTGCTCCACTGGCTCTGCAGCTCTCTGCTGTGTCCCTGGGAAGCAGCCAAAGATGGCCCTAGTCCTTGGGCCTCTGCCCTGGTGTGGGAGACTTGGCAGAAGCTCCTGGCTCCTGACTTCGGATCAGCTCAGCTCTGGCCATTGTTGTCATTTGGGGAGTGAACCAAAGACCTCTCTCTCTCTCTCTCTCAGGCTCGACCTCTCTCTGTAACTCTGTCTTTCAAATAAAATATAATAATTATTAAAAGAAGAAGAACCAGGGCAGTGTCTTTTCCCGTGGGCCACACTAGTTCACTCATCTCTTCCCTGAAAGGTTGCTGGGCCCAAGCCAGCTCCTCCCCGGGGTTTGAGTCATTCAGTTTGTTCTGCACCTGTTCTCTCCATCCTTATCCTCTCTACTTGTTTTGTGTGTGTGTGTGTGTGTGTGTGATTTATTTATTTATTTGAGGGTTATCACTACAGAGAGAGGGATAGACAGAAAAAAGGGCTTCCATCTGCTGGTTCACCACCGAAATGGCCTCAATGCCTTCCTCTGGGCTGATCTGAAGCCAGGATTTATCCGGGCCTCCCACATGGGTGCAGGGGCCCAAGCCCTTGGGCCATCTTCCACTGCTCTCCTAAGCGATAAGCAGAGAGCTGAATTGCAAGAGCAGCAGCTGGGACATGAACCGGCTCCCACACGGGATCCTGGCCCGACTGACAGAGGCTTCCCCTACAAAGCCATAGCCGGGCCCCATCTCCTTCTACTTTAAATCAGATGTGGAGAAATCCTGCCTGAACCCCGTGCTCACATTAATGAGATTGCAGGGATGTGTGGGAAGGATCCCTCCTCCAATAGGGTGAAAACAACACCTGTGTCTTTTGTGCTTTTTCCACATAAATTCTTAGGTGCTTCTTCTGGTCATATGAATAATGTGCTTCCTATTTTTGTGGGGATTGCCTTGAATTTGTAAATTGCATTGGATAGAGTAGACATTTTCATCATGTTAATTCTTGTAATCCGTGGACATGGATGTCTTTCTAGTGTTTGTGTCTGCTTCAGGTTCTTTCACTGGTGTTTCATAATAGTCATGGTAGAGAAGACACTAAGAAATGGACAAGTAGGAGTACTTTCTACATGGCTTGGCAAACATTTTAATGAGATGTAGGGGCAAAGCCTTGAGGCCTGTCTGTGTCTAGCACACAGTAACTGCTCAGTCACATTAGTTCTTACCAGTCCATCACCCTCTGCTCTTTCAGACTCTTCTTCCTTGTCTTAGACACATGGATAACTGTTCATGGTGTGATGGACCATTCTACTCACATAAGTTAATGTTCCTCAAATGATTTAAATGTTTAGTATTATTAATAATGTCTCAAGGAGCATCATCTACATATATTTGGTATGTCCCTTATTAATTGTGAAGATACTTCTCCAGGTTGTATCCTGTAAAGGGAATTGCAAGATCAAAGTTCTGGTACATTCCTGATGGTGCTGTTCTGGCCCCATTGCCTGGCAAGAAGATTTTCCCATTCACATTCACAGCCACTGATGAGAATGTTCTTTTCTATACCCCCTTGCAGAAACTAGACAGCCCCTGTTACCTTCTGTTAACTTTTACCAGCACTTAACTCTTTATTGTGAGATTTTATCAACTCAGATTACACTCAATAGGCCTGGAAAGGCTGCGATCAATGGGATGGTCTGTGTTCTCTTGTATTGGATGACTGCTCTGTTCTGAGATAATCAGACAACAGCAGTGTGAGCACACGAGTCTTGCATGGTGGACGACACTGCGTGTTGGGTTCCTGCAGTGTTCTGGATTTTGTGTGTGAGGCCCTCATTTCTCTGTCGCTCTTTCCTTTCTTTCTGCCTGCTTCCTTATTCTTTCTTTCCACTGACTTGGGATTGGTCTGCTCCTGTTTTACTAGGATTTTTGAGATACTTTGTTAGGTTATTGGAAGTCCTTCTAATTATTTGATGTAGGAACTTAATCCCATAACCTTTCCTCTGCATACTACTTTTAGAATTTCCTGTAGATTCAGTGTGTTGTGCTTCCATTTTAATTAGTTTCATGGAATTTTGAAATTTCCCTCTTGGTTTCTTATCCAGCCTTTATGTATTTGCATACCTTTGGGGGTTCTTGTGTTGTTGATTTCTAGTATTATAGCATCCATGTTCCATGTGCAGATGAAAAGAATGTGTATTCTGCAGCTGTGGAGTGAAATATCTGTACTCATCTGTTATGGCCATTTGGTCTGTAGTAGTTTCTCTCTGATGCTTGTTAATTTTTTTCCAGGTGATCTCTTCCTGTCGAAGAAAGGTGAGTGTTGAAGTCCCCCACTATTACTACATTAGAATTCATGTGTCCTTTAGATGTAATAATTTTGTTTTATAAATTAGTGTGCTGCAGCAATGGGTTCGTATGCACTTACCATTGTCACATCTTCTTGTTGGATCAAACCCTTGATAATCATATAGCAACCATCATCTCTGTTTCAGTTTTTATCATCAAACCTATTTTATCTGATCCAACCATAGGTACTCTTGCTCACATCTGATATCCATTAGCATGAAGCATCTTTTCCCATCCTTTCCCTTTCAGTCTCTGTCTTTACTAGTGTGTTTCTTGTAGGCAACTTGTGGTTGGGTCTTGGTTTTCATCCAGTCATCCTGTCTGTATCTCGTAACTGGGTAATGTTGTCTGTTGACATTCACAGTTATTATGGATAAGGGATGGGTAAGAACTTGATTTTTAGAAATTTCATCATTTTGTTGTGAGTACCCTATGTTCTTTTTCCAGTGGGTTTTCTGTCATGTGTCTTGATAGTGGCAGTGACTCCTTATTCCAAGTCACTTGCAGAGGCTCTGGGGACAGGAACTGCACAAGGCAGACAGTGCTCCTGTCTCAGGAAGACCCTTTTCTGGCATAGGCACCTGATGGTCTAGAGGTGGTCACAGAAACTCATTCTGTGTCTGACTGCAATCACTACTTGATCCTTTCAGTGTTCTTTGGTCCTGCTGTGTCACCCAGGAATCAAACTGAATATCAATGACAGATCTTAGCACCAGAGTGACTCATGGGGGAAGCACATTCTCCAAATGGCCAAATGATGTCCCTGTATAACAAAGGAGGAAAATTCCTCAGTTCTTTGGATGTCACAACATCAGGTGCACTTACCCAACTGGTAAAATATTTCTACCTGTGCAGAAATTTGTTGGATTGATAACATCAGATTTTTCCAATTGGTTTTTATTGTCCATGTTCTTGTGGTCTTAGCCCAAAACCTGTGTTGACTCTGCCCATTTCTTAGAGCATTTGCTGCTTGTTTTCTTCTGTTAGTTTCATAGATTCAGATCTTACATTTAGATCATGATCCATTTTGAGTTGATTTTTGTAAATTAAAATCTATTTTCCCAGTCCCATTAAAATAGATGTGCATATCTCCAGGGAATGTTTTCCACACCTTTGTCAAAAGTAAGTGTAGGGATGTAGGTGTGTGAATTTCTAGGGGTTCTCTTTTTTTCCATTGTCCTATGTGTCTATTGCTATGTTGGTACCATACTGTTTTGGTCTCAATAGCCTTGTGGCATATCTTTAATTTTGAACTGTGGTGCCTCCATCTTTGGCTTCATTGTGTTAAGAATATTTTGAGTATTCAGAGCCTTTTGTGTTTTCATAAGAATTTTAAGATTTTTTTCTTATTCTGTGAGGATGTCATCAGTATTTTGATGGAGACTACATTGAATCTCTAAATTGTTTTGGGTAGTTTTGATATTTTAATAATATTAATTCTTCCAAATATAGAATATATGAGGGAATTCCATTATTTTGTGTCTGCTTCATTTTCTTTCATTAGATTCAATGTGTTTGAATTTCATTGAAGAGGACTTTCACATGCTGGTTGAACTTATCACAAGGTATTTAATTTTTTGTATCTGTATAGAATTAGATAGCACTTACCAATTCTCATCATGATGGTTGAGTATATAATAAGGCCATTGATTTTGGAATTCCACACTGTGTAGCTAATAAAGAATTACTAATCCAGAACACATAAGGAATGGAAACACTTCCCCTGTCAGGTGGAGGCCTCACAGCAGGAATGTGGGATTTCCCTGGGTCATGAAGGGGGATGTGAGTGAGTTGGAGGTGTTTGTTACGTGTGGATGCTGTGTGTGATCCATTCCATCTGTGCTACTCTGACATTAAACACACTGCTTATCTGCCCCATCTGCAGGGGACATAGGGTGACAATGACAGTGACTCTAATTCAGCAAGGGCAAAAATGGAGCCTACAAGGAAGTCATGAATCCAAAAGTTTTCAAGTTAAGATGGGCAAATCCAACAGGACTTCCTGGGATAGGTTTCAAGGCTGAGGACTAATCCTCTGTGATGTGGGGCCTTGCCTCTGGGTCTCAGCCTGTGATACTTCCTTCTTCATTTGAACCAGTACTTGTCTTTTCTTCTCACACTCCTCTGATGTGTGTCTTCTTCCTGGTGTTAGCAGCCTTCTCTTGGTTGTTTTGCACATACACCTTACCTGAGTCAGTCTGCCAATGCCCCGTGCTTGGCTCTGACCACATTCTACCAGGGGCTGTTCTCACGATCTCAGGCACATCAGGAAAATCTTTATTGACCTGATTTCTGTTGGTCATTGTGGTTTTTAATTTTTTATCTTTGAAACTAGCAGCATTGCCTCGCAGAAAAGCTGGGTCCACAGAGGTCCAGAATGAATCTCTACTCTCCCTGACTCCAGGAGACAAAAAGAAGAACATAGATCTCCATACAGAAATGACCTCCATGAGGTCTGACAATCTCCACCATTGCAGCAGAGGAGAAAACCTGAGGGAGAATTCCAGAGGTAAGGGACCACACAGGACAGGCAGGGCTGTGTTAAATACTCATTCACCTTATGTATTCTCTGCTCCCATTCTATCACCCAGTGATTGAAAACAGACAGAGAATACATAATGGGACAATAGAAATGTGGGAAAAGCTGTGTCCAAGGAATGACCCTCATACTTTGTTTGTTTGTTTTTAGGAGCAGTAATAGCAGTGCTTTATCTGAAGTCTACAAAACCCAGCAATGCATTCTTGGAAGACAAGAGCCATGCTCGGCACAGGGAAGCTGGAGGTCAAAGCTCATGGGGTGGCTCTCCTTCCATCAGCTGTGGTGCTGAGACAACCTCTTAGTCTCTATGGACCCCAGGTTCCTCATCAGTGAGGTAAAGTGTGTATTGTTCCTCTCTGAGGTCCTGCTGCTTAGGTTCCTCTGAGTCCCTGGGGAACCACAGGTGCCCTGGGAACTGAGGCTGAGAGCTGACCTAGTCCCTCCTGTGTCTCCTCCCAGATCCAGAACTGAGTCCACATCCTGAGAACCCAGAACTGAAGGTGCAGATGAAGGAAGATGAGCAGCTCTCTGGGACGTGAGAATGACCCAGAGAATGACAAGGTAATGTTAGGGTGAAACCAAGTGTGGGTGAGATGAAGGACACATTGTGTCAGAAACCTCAGGGGATACTCAGAAAGGACTACTCCACTGTCCAGCCCCTGAAGGAGCCACCTTGCATGAGTACTGAGGTCAGGAGAGAAACTGACTCCACAGTGAACCTGTGCACCTGGCCAGGGAGATCCCTGGATGGAATCAGAGCAGGTTTATGCTGAACACAAGCTTTCCATGCAAGCTAGAGATCCTGGTAACTTCAGTGTCACCACCAAAAAAAAAAAAAAAAAAAAAAAAAAAGAGGGAAAGAGAGAAAGAAGCACACCCTTCCTGCCCTCTTCAGCTAGGTACATTTTTCCACCCATGCTCAGTTCTGCCATGCAACACACTGCACAATCCAATAAAATGGCAGTGGTGCAGTCACACGGCCCCAAAGTAAGGATCCCCATGATCCCCACATGGGGCCAAGACCTATGTACATTGTTCACAAGGCTTTTTCTTTCTCTGTGCTATAGTGTGAAAGCACTCACAGAACTCAGTAGCCAAAATAATTAATCATTCATCTGAGAAATTGGCAAAGGACCTGAGTAGACATTACTCCATGAAAGGAATATGCATTGCTACCAGGTTTATGACAAGTTGCCCATTATCAGTACTCATCAGGGAAACACCATTCCAAACCACAGAGGGATATCCCCTCAGAACCATATGGTCAGCTGCTTTCACAAAGACAAGAGAGAATAAATGTGGGCAAGGGTGTACCAAAAAGGAAACACTTTTACATTTGTGTGAGAATGTTGAGTGGTATGGCCATTATAGAAAACATTATTGAAGTATTTTTGAAATGTTAAACTAGAACTGTCAAATGACCCATTCATCCTCCTTATTGGTATATGTGCAAAAAAAGAAGAAACAAAAAACCGTATCAGATATACCTGCAATCCCTAGTCGATGCCTTATTCACAGAGGCCAAGATGCAAACTGCCTAAATGTCCATCAACAGAAGGTTGGTTAAGCAATCTTGCTGTCCATATATATGGCTTGAAAAGTATATTTTAATAAAAGGATACTACAGAATTTCCATGACACTTTGGAATCACTTGAAGCTTTTGAATCATTCTTAACATGTCTGTGTATAGATATTTATATACATATAATGTGTAACAATACATTATACATGATAGATGTATGATGATGCTTAAATATATATTTATATGATGGAATGCTGTTCAACTCAAAGATAAAGGAACTCCTGTCATTTGTGAGAAACTGGATGAAATTGGAGGACATTATGGTGAGTGAAATAAATGAGATATAGAAATAATAACACTGCATGAAGTCTGTTATGTGTGGAGTCTGAAAGAAAAAATGGAAAATTGTTGAATATGTCAAAACAGAGAATATAAGAGAAGTCTTCAAGGTGGTGCAGTCTGGTGGGAAGAATAGAGAAATGTTGACCCAAGAGTACAAAGTGGTAGTTATAGAGAAGAACTAAATCTAGGGTTCTGAAGTTAAGCATGAGAATCTGAGTTATTAGTGGAGCATGCTATTCTCCATTAGAATGAGAAAGTCTGAGAATTTTCTAACAGTAGATTTTGTGGGTTCTTACCATGTGCAGGCACATAAAGGTTAACTGTGAGATGATGAATATTTTATTTACTAGTCTAGAGGAATCATTACACTATGGATATGTACATTACAATATCATTTTTGAATATTTTAATAATTATTTTAAAAGATGTATTATTCTATTTGAAAAGCAGAGTTACAGACAGAGAGGAACACACACACACTGAGAGGGAGAGACCTTGCATCTTCTGTTTCACTCCCCAAGTGCCTACAACAACCAGGGCTGAGCCAGGCCAAAGCCAGGAGCCCAAAATGCCATCTGGGTATCTCACAGGAGCTCAAGGGGCAAGGACATAAGCCATGTTCCACTGCTTTCCCTGGCACCTCAACAGGGAGCTGGATCAGCTGAAAGTGGAGCCGCTGGGAGTCCACCAGCACTCATAGAGGAGATCAGTGTCTCAAGTGGTGGCTTACCCCACTATGCCACAGTGGAGACTCCTACATCTATTTAGACATCAGAATTTAAAATTTCAAAAAAAAAAAAAAACAGTTTTGATCATCCACTCAAATGGAAACCTTAAAATGTGCAGCTTTTGGGACTGGCATTTCATTCAGCAGTTAAGTGGCTTTTGCAATGCTCACATATAGGCCCTACATATAGGATGCCTGTGGGTGAAACTGAAAGTGGAAAGAAGTGGTTACTAAAGAAGGATGCACATTCCCTGAAGGGCGGAGAGAGCTTCCTCTTTGCTTATGGCCTTGTCGAGCTAGGTGGATCCAGAAGGCTTCTGTAGCTGAGGCAGCTCATGTCAAGCACCCTGGGTGAGCACTGAGGTCAGACATAAGAGTGTGATTTGTTAAAGACACAGTGAGAGCCACTGTGCACTGCCCTCTGTCCTCAAAGCTATATCAAGGGACTTCATAGTAGAACTGTTCTCCAGAATCACTTCCTTTTAGTGCATTAAATGGAGGATATTCTTATGTCTCATAGGTTATAGTTCTGTCTAAGAGCTCACAGCAGATGTATCATCCGTGGGTTCTTCTTTGAAGACAATTAAGTTTCTAAAAGGAAAGAAGGGAGAAGAGGAAGGGAATAGCAGAAGGGGGCAAAAAGTGAAATCCCCTTTGAGAAGCAGTAACCTTGGACAGCCCTTTGCTAGGCTGCTGAGTAACAGTTCTCTTAGTTTTCTTGTTCCATTCTGTCTTTTTTTCTTTCTCAGACTAAACAGGAGAGTTGGAGGAGGAAGAGGGGGAGAATAGGTGGGAGGGCAGGTAGGTGGGAAGAAGGACTATGTTCTTAACATTGCATTTATGCCATAGATACAACATTAAATAAGAAGTTAATTTAAAAAACCACTTCAAATATGTAACACCCATATTCCTCAAAATAAGTTTGCCATCATTATAAAATTAGTTGCAGTAATTATATATAAATATATTATTAAAAGCATTAGGTTCTTCCCATACATTTGCAGAACAAGTTGGAGTTCTGCACACCAAGTGTCACCCTGGCCAAGCCTGACTGTTGCATGCTTTTGGGGACTGAAATAGTAATGTAACACAGAGTTTTGGTTGTGTTTCTCTGTGTGTATGTCTCTACATCTTCATCTTTACATCTCAAATAAGTATAATTAAACAAAGAACATTTTCATCCATATGTTCAAATATGTTCAAATTAATATGTTCAAATTTTCTGTTCAAAGTCATTGATAAGAAGATGAATATACAGGCCAACATAGGGAGAAACTTTTTTGAAATTGCATACCTAATATAACAATTCTATCCAAAAAACTAAAAGAGCTCTCAAAATTCCTTTCTTTTTTTTTTTTTTTTTTTTTTTTTTTTTTTGACAGGCAGAGTGGACAGTGAGAGAGAGGGACAGAGAGAGAAAGGTCTTCCTTTGCCGTTGGTTCACCCTCCAATGGCCGCCGCTGCAGCCGGCGCACCGCGCTGATCCGATGGCAGGAGCCAGGAGCCAGGTGCTTTTCCTGGTCTCCCATGGGGTGCAGGGCCCAAGCACCTGGGCCATCCTCCACTGCACTCCCTGGCCATAGCAGAGAGCTGGCCTGGAAGAGGGGCAACCGGGACAGAATCCGGCGCCCCGACCGGGACTAGAACCCGGTGTGCCGGCGCCACAAGGTGGAGGATTAGCCTATTGAGCCACGGCGCCGGCCCAAAATTCCTTTCTAAGATAATAAAATGACCCATTTATCAGGGAAGCTTAAAATTCAGCATTTCAAACAGGTAGAAAAGCCTTGAGATCTCTTTAAACAGCAGGTGGGGTGACTTCCTAACAGCCCTGAGAAAGGAAGGCTTGTTGGGACACATTTTCTGCCTTGGTATTTTCATACACATACATGACTATATGAGCGATACATGCTTAGGTGATTTGGGGACACGGTCTGTAGTATCAGTGCAGGATCTATAACTATGAGACTGGCAGATGGGTAGGTTGTCCCCAGCAGTGGGGGTCTTGTGCCTCAACCTAGCTTAGGTCCCTGGAAGGCAGAGTTCCAAAGATTCCGTGACACGCTCCACCTTCTAATTCTGCGATGGCAACGGCTGACCATTAGCTGCCACACAACAGCCAGTCCTAGCAGAGACTGAGCTACAGGCAGTGCCTTGAATCTAGGCTTTGGCAGTTTTATCCTTGTTTGTCCAGTGAAGAACTTCCCAGTGTTGTCGGGCAGTGGATCAGGTGTTTCACATCAGTAAGTGAAGCTGGACAGTTATTGTCACCCCTCAAGCCTACCTGAAACTCTTGGATGTCATTTGTTTGACCCTCACCTGTGTTTGGGTTTCCTCTCCCCAGTCCCTGTTGTCCTGCTGTGACACACCATCAGCATGGCAGGATCCCACAGCCCTGCCTCAGATCCCGAGGCAGAACTGAACGACCTCGAATGCCAGCAATTGCGATCCCAGCTGGCAAAGAGCCAACAGGATTGCTGGGAGCTCCAGGAGAAGTTTCTCATAGCTGAGGCTACAAACTTTGCCCTGGCCAGGGAGCTGAAAAAATACAGTAAGTTCTCTCGGGTCATTTCACCACAGTGATGATTGTCCTGTATCTTCTCCTGAGGAACTAAATGGCCTCACTACTTGATTGTTGTCTTCTTTTTGCTGAACTTAATTTCCTCCTGACCACACTCCCAAGCTGACACACAGGGTTTCGCAAGTTTTCCAAGGTAGCAGTGAGGTGTAGGGTGACAGGAGTGCTGAATCTGTCATGGATTCCTGATGAGGCATAGAGCTGCCTGTTGTCCTCAGGGTCAGGCTCCACCATATTGAGTGCATGTTTATGATCATCCTGTCTGTGTCAGCTCCTGCAGCCTTATACCATCACTGTGGGCCTCATTTCTGGGGCTAACGCATTTCACTCAATTCAAGCTTCCGTTGAGTTCCCATTGGCAAAGCACTGTCCTAGGTCAGGAGTGGACATGTGTTCAGAGTGAGCAGGATGTGCTTCCAGAGAGACAGAGAGTCTCCTGTGCACTAGAACTCTGGTATCCATGGGAACACCCTCACAACACAGCCTCCCCACTGGGAGAAAGTCCTGCTCCTGGAGCACAAGTTCTTCTTCCAGAAGAGGAAGACGCTGCCTGAGACCTGGGAGTGGGAGCACAGGGTGTAGGGGGGGAATCAGGCCCACTCACCTGGGTGCTCCCCACTGCCCACCTTCTCTGTAGCTTCGATTTCTCTCCCATTCATAGGTGCTATCATAATTCCTGCCTCTGTAGATGTCACAACCAAATGCGCTCCTTCTTTCCTATACAACTCCAAGGATGGTTCCTTGCTCAGGATCAACAGAATCCATGAGGCCCTTATTGCACTCTTTCTAATTTAGGAGGAACTATACTTTTTATTGGGCCATATTGCCTCAGGGCCTTACTTTGTTATACATTGTACTCTACACAGTTCCATGAAAGATGGTCCCTTAAGTCTGAAATAACAAACACTTGAAATCTTTCCCAATGCAAGGAAACAGTCCTACACCCTTATCAAGCTCCCAAATATACAGAAGGTGACGACTTCATGCCCCAAGTTCCTGTTTGACCTGAGAGGCTGCAAGGCTTGCTGAGTCCAGTGGCTCATGATTCAGTCTGAGCTCAGGGACTGGGAACTCTGATTCTGTAAACACCAGTGGAATCACCTTGTCAAGTCACCTTCTGTATCTTTGAAGTCCTTTTTTCTCATTTTACTGGGAAATAGCAGGGTCAGTGCTGTGGTTCAGCAGGTAAAGCCACTGCCTGCAGTGCTGGCATCCCATATGGGTACTAGTTCAATTCTGGCTGGTCCACTACCAATCCAGCTCTCTGCTATGGCCTAAAAAGCAGTAGAAGATAACCAACGTGCTTAGGCCCCTGCATCCATATGGGAGACCTAGAAACAGCTCTTGGCGCCTGGCTTCAGATTGGCACAGCTCCAACCTTGCAGCCATTTGGGGAGTGAATCAGCTGATGGAGTCTCTCTCTCTCTCTCTCTCTCTCTCTCTGCCTATGTCTCTCTGTAACTCTGCCTTTCAAATAAATAAATAAATCTTTTAAAAATAGGAAATTTCAGATGCTATGTAGTGAGGTGATGAAATACAGATGTGAAACTCCCAATCTGGAGCCTGGCCCTGGAGTTCTTTTGGTCTTCAGCAGGCACTGACTACAAAAGCACCTCCCTGAGTTCTGCGTGTCTGTCTTTCCCCAGATTGTGAGAAGTTTAAAAACATCATTGAGTCCATACTGACCAAGAAGCTCCACTTGGAGGAGCCGCTGGCAGAGAAGCCCACGGTCCCAGAGCTGCTCAGGTAAGGGTATCTGTGTGGGGCAGGCAGGTGGGGAGGTGTGTGGGTATCTCCGGTGGGGCAGCTCAGAAGGGAGAACTGAGGCATCTCAGGCATGGAAAGCCATGAAGGCACTGTGGCAAACAATGTTCTCCATGTAGGATCACTGTGGGACCCCAAAGAAGTGGCCATCAACGGAGGATGCACTTTTCTCTAAGGGAGGAGAGAACTTCCACTTTGCTGATGGCCTTGTCTAAATACAGACAGAGTTTTCAAAATGCTTCCATAGCCTAGTCAGCTCATGTCATGAGCCTTGTGTGGTCCCTGACAACATACAGAGGAGTGCTAATTGTTCAATTAACAGCAGGAGTCACTGTGCACTGACTCCCCATGCAGGACCTCTGTTCTCAATGAGTTGTATTAAGAGAGAGTTACAGTGAAACATTTCTCAAACAGTTTTTATTCTTGGGTGGGTGTGAGTGCACATTGTTGAAATTGTTACTTAATATAGAGTTGGTCTTCTGTGTACAAAGTTCATTGAAAATGCATCTTAAAGGAGAATGAGATTGAGAAGTAGAGAGGGAAGAGGAGCTGGGCTGGGAGTGTGGGTGGTACCCTGTGTATGGGGAGAAGAATAACTATATTCCTAGAGTTGTCTTATGAAATGTATATTACTTACAATAAATGAATGAATAAATTTTTAGAAAGAAATGGTAAAAATTAATTTTACAATGAAAGTAAAAGTGAATAGGTACTTTGAAAAAATTCTCCCTTCAGGAGAATTTAAAATGAAAATACATTTTTCCCTCCACAATTACTGTTTATTTCCCTAATAAAATGGTATGAATAGATAATAAAAAAAAGACATCATGGAGTCCATGTTGACCAAGAAGCTACACATGGAGGCCCCTGCCAAAGCAGTCCAGGTCTGCTGAGCTGCTCAGGTAAGGCTCTCTGTGTAGGGCAGGCAGGTGGGGATGTGTTTCACTAGTGGGCAGCCCAAATCAAAAACTGAGCCAGCCTGTGCCAGACAAGGGCAGAGAGTTACAGCAAAGCCCTGTGTCTCAGATGTTATGAAACAAGGAGGGAGCAGAGGAATCTGAATTCAGAGCTGCAAGTGCGGAGAGTCTGTAAGTAAGGTGTCCAGGTGGATGGGCTCCCATGGGGCCCTCCTGTTTACTCTCTCTTCTGCAACAGGAAGTCCCCATGGCTGCGTTTCTGGGAATCCAGTCACCAGTTAGCTTTGGTCCTCTGTAGGTGGTGCTATGCCTGTTCTCTCTTCCTCCCATGTTCTCATGGTTCCCTTAGTGTGGAGGTGCTTTTCTGTGGGCACTCACCTCAAGATGGAGCTGCATTGGGTCTTCTCAGGGGAGGTGGAGGGGATGCTGGGCTCCTCTGTTTGGTCATCTTGCAATCAATCCTCATTTACCCTTAGTCACCATCACCTCCTGATATAGAAGACTGATGCTTAGCTTGGCCCTGCCAGACCTTCATTCTTGTTTCTTGCCATGTAACCCCTGTGTGCACCATGAATCCCAGTCACTACACTGTACACTGTGTGTCTTCCTACATGGAAATGCCTGTGGCTGGAAGGAGGAACTGAATTAGCACCTTTATGAAGGCAAGAAAGGAAGAATCCTTGCACTGTTGATAGAACATGACCTGAATGGAATCTCAGGAATTGTGACAAGATCTTTCTCTAAAAGTGGGAGCAAGGCCTTGTGTTGCCCTTTGCTTTTCTTGGCACAGGTATTTCTCCAAACCTGAGTGGTGATGCTGGTGGAGGGCTCTATAAGGCATTGTTATGAAAATCTGTGGAAACACAGAGAACCTAACACTCATCACTTCCCATCTAGAACTTTCTCCATGCTTGCACCTTAGGCATTGCCGTGGCATCCTTGAAGATCAGGACCAAGAACTTTCCCAGTTACGCCCAAAGGTCCAAAGGGGGAGAAATCTAGCCCACATCCTGCAGCAGTACCTGAAGGACGTGCTCACTGTGCATGACCCTGAGACCTGTACGGGGCAGGGCTTCCGACGACTGCTCACTGAGGCTGTCCGGCTGTCAGCGTGCCTTGAGGACCTCCTTGGAGCAGGTAAGCTGGGCACAGGCTGTCATGTGAGAAGCCTCAGGGGTTCAGATGCATTCATCCCTCTGCCATGGGCATTTGCCTCAGCTCTTCTTGGTACTGAACATGTGTACCAGGACAAGGTCAGCACTGCTTGGGAAAAACAGATAGGGGCAGAGAAGTCTTTCAAGTTTGCAGTATCCCAAAGGTCTCCTCCCTTCCTGATTGTGGTTGGCCATTGAGGGAAGAGGCAGGGTCCACCCTCATATCAAGACCAGAAAGACCTTGTGAAGTGAGGCCACTGTTAGGCTGAACACAGTCACTGAGCTAAGTTGAATGGAAGCCTCCAGCTCTGTGCTCAGTGTGGTTTTCAAATGGTAGACAGGTGATTGCTTTCTCCATCCAGGATTTCTCTTGCCTCATTCACTAGATGGACCAAAAACTCTGGGGCAGAGCAGATGTAACCATCAAAGGTGGAAGCTGTTGCTTGTAGGTTTCCCAATAGGACAAAGGCCCTCCTCTCCCTGGGAGTGCCAGACCAGGCACTAGAGTTAGTAGAACTTCCGTGAGGAAAGCTGTTGAGAAGGGAACTCGTAACACAGAGAGAATTTCCTCTAATGAAACAGCAGAGAAAACGTGGAGGGCCTGTGAGGGAGGGATGGAAGTTGGGTTCTTTGCTTCTTCATGACAGATGGAGGTTCTCTGTGAGACCCATGGGAACATAGAACCCATGCCTTGGACTCCCACTAGTGGCAGGATGAGGGATAACAGGCAGAAGTCCCAGGGAAGCTTGAGAAGCTTCCAGTGATATGGGAGCAAAGGATGTTGGCCTAGTTTCAGGCAGAATCTGCCATGATTCTGATCTCCAAGTGCAGAGACACAAAGCCTGATGGACCACAAGAGAATGGCAAGGCGTTTCTTTAAACACAGAACATTTGAAGTTTTTGTCCACTATTGGCCCATATGTAGATATTCATATGCACACAGAGGCCACCTTCATTGTAATGGGGGCGGTGATATTATCTGATTGGACATTTCTGAATTTGTTTACAGAAAACATTGAAGAGGAGGAAACACCAGCACAAGGACCTGTTGCTGACAGGTAATAGTGAATGATTAGGAGCTGGCAACAAATGGGTGAAGGATGCACAGGGTCTCCTAAAGAACAGAAAAGGGGCCAACACAGTCATGGAGTTGAGATGCATGCAGAAACACAACTGCAGATTGTGTTGAGTCCTTCCTTGCCAACTAGGAAATCCCCCTGTTAAAGTAGGTGTCTGTTGTCCTAGTCCTAGTTGCTGATAGGATCCATGATGAACTCACAGCCTTAGGTGTTGCCTGCACACAAAGGGAACCTCTGTTCTCTGCTTTCTGGAAAAGGGAGGAAGATGCGCATCTGCTTTCTACAGAGTTAGCTGAAGTTCTCATCAGAGAAAACTAACAAAGAGGCAATGGGAAAAGGGGGCAGTTAGGAAGAATCCAGCCAGGTTCAACTGCAGAAAAGCACCTCTACAAAACCATGTTTGCTGTCCTGTGACTTGGTTAAGAGAAGGCCCAGAAGGTAGCACATCTCTAGAATCTGCCAAGCCCCTAGAACCTTGATCACATGGCTGCAGGACACTGCAACAACCCAACCTGAGCACAGGGTGTCAGCCCTTGCAGCTGTCAATGTGTGCTTGTGCTGTGACTGTGCCATGCAGCAACAGTGGAGGCTGCTTCCTCATTAGCTGCTGTGTATTGAGTGTGATGAGCAGAGGCTGATCTCTTCCCAGGCCCTCTCCCCCTAGGCAGCCACACGGTGTCCAGAGTGGAGGGAACAACCTCTATGCTGTCTATGACCGATCCCTTATGCACCCCATCCAAACCAGCCACCTCCTTGGTGTCTCTTCCTTCTTGGTTTCATCTCTGTCATCCTTATCCCACCTGGCTTCTCAGGGAGCTCTTGGAAGTGGATGAAATGGAAACCCCACAAAATTCACAGCAGGAAACATCTATCACTGGTGCTGTTGACCACCTGCTAAGTGACTCCTGCCTGCCAGAGGGCACTGTGCAAATGTCTCCTGATGCTGAGGACACCCACAGTGTGCTAGGTCTAGATGGGGAACAAGCTTGTTCACACAAGAAAGAAGAACCTGTCACCGTTCTCCCAGGTACCCTCTCCATTCTTTGTACACAATAACTCTTACGTTGATTAGGGTCACTTTTGAGCACAGGCCCTGCAGACACAAGTTGGTTTCAATCAGGGTCCAGGTTGTGGCACTGAACATAGACATCAGGAGAGTCAAGGAGCTTCCCTCCCCTCAGATGCAGTTTGTCTCACTGCACCCTAGCCTATGGGAACATACAGAGGCCCTGTGTAGGAAGTGCCTTTCAGACACTCTAACTTAGAAATCATGCCTGCTGTCACCTGCAGTGATATCATTCTGTTCTACTACTGCATCCCTGGAGTTCTAGCCCCATGCAGGCTTTTGGTAACACTTCCCATGTGTGGGCCAAGTTGTGATCCTAGTTTCCCTACTTCTATCCCTAGTCTCTACCTCCTTTAAGACAGCTTATCTTAGCTATGCAATCATCTCAAAACCAGGATATAAAGTCTTTTATACTGTACTTCTAGTACAGTTCAAAAAACATAGCTGAATCCAGGAACGTCCCTACAAAATCAATGTTCAATGTTTCTCTATAACTGCATAGATTTATTTGTGCGAGGTATTATGGAGTTCATTCAGCCTTCTATAGAAACTCCTCTACCCTTATTCACCATGATCAGTCTGATAGGATGAGTCAGTACTATAGCAACACTCCTAGATTTTAGATACATAAATCCTAAAGGGCCTGGGGAGAGAGCTCTTGAATTGCTTGTATTGTTCCCATAGACAAGAGGGAGATTATTCATGAGCAATTCTTGGAATAGCCAAGATTCTGTGTGGCATCAAACAGGTTTCAATTCCAGGGCATGCAGACTCCATGCATAGCTCTCTCCCAGTGTTCTACCTCCTCTCCACAGTCAGCAACCTGGATCCTTTAATGAGAGCAGCCTGACAACTGCAGTTTGCCTCCTAGGAAGTTCTTGGGCTGTGAGCTTAGAATCCCTGAGGACTATTGCAGGCTGTTTCTAAGGGTTCTGGACAGAGGTTATTGAGATGGTGATCCAACTGTGAACAGGGAGATTTGACCCCTTGCCCAGGATGGCTCACCCAGCCCATCTCCTGATGTCAACTTAGTCCTCCTAGAGGATTTCTCTCACAGTCTCCTGTTCTCACACAAGAACAATCTGTCCCCTTGGTAGTAGTGGCTATTGGATACCCATATCTGACCTAAAACCTGCTTAACATGGTGAATCTCTCTGAATTTGTTTGCAGAAAATCAATATCACGAAGTGGAGGTACAAGAGCAAGTTGTCACATACACTTCCAGGTAACTCGGAGGCAGAGCAGACAGTGTAGTATGGACTACTAGGGAATCAAAATGCTGGAGAAACTGGTGACTAGAGCCAGTTGGAACATTCAGCCAATGATGAAATGCCTCTTTTCATAATGTTCCCTTTTGTATTGTTTCCCTCTATATTCCCCCTTTGAACATCCTTCACATATTTTTACCTGTAGTCTGATAACAAAGTCACTTCTGTACCTGTGATGTGTGTCTTCAGTGTCTCTGCCCTCCCATCTCATCAGGGAGCTCCCAGAGGAGCAAGAGAAGGAAGACCCAGACGACTCGCTGGATGAGTGCTACCTCACTCCCTCGATTTTTCCGGTCATTTCTGAGCTTGACCATTCCACGTGGAGCAGCTGGTGCTCCCTGGAGCATCAGGACATGCTCTCTGCTCCAGATGCAGGCGGTGAGTCCCCCACTGTGAGGTGATACAACCCCCTCTGCTTGCCAAGGAGCCCGCACTATCCTTGCACTCCTCACTCCCACCTGACTGAGAGGGCTCCTGGACATAGGATGGTCTGAGACATTCTCAGCATCTGTTCTTTTTCAACCAGTCTGTTGCACAGGTGTGGTTGGCCCATCCAGCCTTGCTGTCCTCCCATTCCTTGTGTGGCTTTGTCACTCAGGTTCCAGTGCTCAGTCATTGCCAGAAGAATGTCACAGATGCACACCAACCTAAGCAGCACATCTCATGCTTGTCTCTGCCAGTCCTGTTCTAATGAAGCAGACCCCTCTGCCCCCTGCAGTGTTGATCACATGAGTCATTCCCCGTCCCTGTCATGTGACATTGCTTCCTGTCAGAGCCAGCAGCATGCTCATCTCCATTGCAGTCAAGATACTCCCCCTGTTTCATTGAACCCAACCACGTTGTCTGTCCCTTCAACGTTGGCATCATTTCACCTACCACACATACAGAATGTTCTGCCATTCCTTTAGTAGTGTGTCCCCAGGCTGCAGGTCTGAGACCTGTGCTTAGAGATTCCATGAGTAGCCAAGTTTTCTCTTGTGCTGCACACATTCACTCTGATACCCAGAACTGAAAATTCACCTGTTCCACCTTTTATCTTATCCTCAATGTACAAAATATGGTAAACCACAAACTACCAAGAGCTTGTTTGAGAACCATGGGCACTGCACTTCCTCTCATGGAAAGGAATCACACTAGGAACCAAGCATCTCCAGAGAATATTATTTTAGATTTGATTTTACCTTATGAAAGGCAGAATTAGAGAAACAGGGAGAGAGAGAGAGAAACAGGGAGAGAGAGAGAGAGGCAACTCTTGCATACTCTGGTCTGCTCCCCACATGGCCACAATGGCATCGACTGGACCAGGCCCAGGGAGGAACTAGGAGTTTCCTCCAGGTCTCCTATGTGGGTGCAGGGCCCAAGTACTGGACCATCTTCTACTGCATTCCCAGGTGCATTAGAGGGATTTGGATCAGAAGTAGAACAGCCAGGACTTGAATCCGGCATTGACATGGGATCCTGGGGTTAAAGGCAGCAGCTTTACCTGCTTGCCACAGCACCCACACTTGGGAAATTTGTTTCATTTCTGTAGGTAATCAGGTCAGTGATTATTGGTGTGATGGACTGGAGGAATAGGGAGGTTTACCTCATGTGTCAAGAAAAATGAACAAGCTAGTTCCCTCAGAAATGACCTCCACCCTCTAGACAATTCCTATCTGAGGAGTCGGCAGTGACACTGAGGATACTGGTGTGCTGTGCTAGTGCTGGACAGCGCATTGTACAGGCTTTGAGGGGATCATCCTAGATGACTGTGCCTATTTGAATTCATTTGCAGAAAAGGAACATGACAATGATGAAGTGCAAGAGGAAGCACAAGCCCTGTCACACACCAGGTGAGTCTTAGGAACCCTGGGCAGCGAGCTTAGTGCTGACACAGGGCAGACTCCAGGGTCCAGAGAAGAAGAGCAGTGCCACTGTGCATCTCCCATCCATTGAGCCAACCCATGCGGTACCCCGTCAGCACTGCTGTCTGCCATCATTAGGGTACTAGTCTGGGTTTCCACTTCTCCCTACCTTTTCCATGTAGTGACCTGCAGCAGGCTGACCTCATGAAGGAGCCTCCTCCAGGGATTCCTTGCCATCATTGCCCCTCTCTGGTGCAGTGACAGGGCAGGGTGCTGCTCACAGGTCTCCTCTTCTCATGAGCTTCTCTGCCCCCCATTAATCACGTGAAAACCACCCTGACAGAAACTAGTGCCTCAGCACTGAGAATAAGACTGACGGCTAAATCCGTGGTCAGTCCAGTATCCCAAAGGGGATTCATTGACTCTGCATGTAGTTTACATAAATCTGTTGAAGCCAGTTTTTCATTTCCCAAATACTCATGGGTACTAGTGGACCAACTGAGAGTCCTTTTCTCCAGGCTGAGTCCCTAATGACCTCATCACAGAGGAAATCCTCTGTTTCTCTCTGCTTCTGTCTCCATGCCCTGTCAATATCTCCTGCTACTCACTATCACCTCAAACCTAAACTCTTTCTCCAAGAAGCTGAGAGTTCTGTCTTGCCTGTTTACTTTAAAATGACTTCAAGCAGTACAAATAAGCATAAAGAGTCTACAAGCACACATAGATTATAACGTTAATATTGGCTGTAGTTGATTCATGTGTAAATATTATATATATACACATACTTACCATTCTACAGTGGAAGGCAGTGGTGTTTCTGTTTTACCTGGCTTTCTGTTTGCCACGTGTTTCCTATGAGCACTTCATTTTTCCTCACTGAATATTGCTGCCCTGTGATAACGTTCAGTTCATCTACTCCAGGTGGTCAGCAAGGAGCTCCTCAAATGGAAGACATTGCATCCTGTCTGCATCCGTTAGTAGCCAGTCTTCCCCAGATAGGGACAAAGTTGTGGGTGGCCCCCTTGCTCAGCCCAGCCACTTCTGGAAGCCTCATCTTGGAACAAGCTGGAAAGGGGCTTTCTGTCTTGCTATGTTCTCACCCACCTTTCCCTCCCTCCAATCTCATCAGGGAGATTCCAGAGATGAAGATCAAGATGTCTCACAAGACTCTCACGGTACTGTGTTTAACTCCTGACCCTTCTTCTGGAAGCTTCTGACTGGCCCCATTCTAGGAGCACCTGGTCCTCACCTGGAGAAACAGCCTGTCTGCTCTGCTCTTGTTGTAGACAGTGAGTGCTCCATTGTGAACAGGAACACTACACTGGCTCTCCCAGGTGGCCTCTGAGTCTTGGGTTGCTGCACCTGTGTTGGGTGAGACAGACCACTGTGCACTCAGGCCCTGGGGCATTATCTCAGTCTGGATGTGGCTCTTGGATGGAGTTTGCTCATAGTCATCAACAGGGGAATCCCTTGGCTGTCACCAGGCCCCACTTTCAAGGCGCAGCTTTGACATCAAGACAGGGAAGGAGGGGATGGGAATGCAGGATGGGCCAAACAACTGAGCCACCACCATCTCTCTGGAGAGGTTTCTTTAACAACTCACTGTGATGTTCCTAATTTTAAGCAACAGTTGCAATTGTAAACAGCATCCTCCAAACTTCTCAGGCTTAAAGCTTTGGCAGTCTGTACAATGTTTCCTTAGTTATCTGATACTAGGTATCCTTGGTCGGCAGACCTGTTTTCTCTGAAGCAGCTTGGTGCTAACCACAGCAGTCCAGTCCCGCACCTGTGTCCATGGTGTGGTTTTCATCTTCTGCTTACAGCACTGATTTGTGCTCATATGAGGTCTGTAGTTTTAATCCAGTGTCTAAACTCGGCATTTTTTTCCTGTAAAGCCTCCATAATCTTGCACCAGGACAGGAATCTATTCAGTATCTGAGTGAGGCTGAGGGGTCCCTCACGTCATCACAGGCAGAGTGCCTCTTGTTGAGTAGGAGCCTTGAGTATTGCTTCATGGGGGGGGGGCAGAGAAAAGTCCAATTTCCTTGAATCTGATCTTCAATGAGGTTTTACACTTTCTCTCAGCAAGAATCACTCATCAAATCATTCAGTAGGAAAATCACGAAATCCTGATGCCCTTCCTGTTTCTCATGTTCTGCAGTAGAATTGGCAATGACAGTTGTCCCCCCAGTGCTATAGATCAGCAGGCACCTTTTCTTGGTGAGACCATGCGCTTTTCCTCTGTACAGAGTACAGAGATGTGCAGAGTCATCCCAGGACACAGCGATTCACACCCAGCTATGAAGGCCACTTCATGGGCATCTGTGCTGTGCTAGACCCTGTGCCATCCTGATCCATGCAACCCCTCACTGGACCTCTCCTGGTGGAGATTCTGTCCCCACCTTGGGGAGAGGATCCTGAGGCTCAACAAGTCACTCTCCCAGGTCACCCCACCTTGTGTGCATTGCAATCAGAGACCACTCCTTGGCTACCCCTTGTCTGTAGGCTCAGTCCACTTGTTTTCAGCAGACATGCCAGCGATGTGGCTGGCTTTGGGTACTCACACTTAAAACTTTTCTTCTGTAAACAAATTGTGTTGAGGAGAATTTCAAATATCAGTAGAAAAGTTCTGGTCTGCAAACAAGAACTTCTAAAGGCCCTGCACAACATCTCCCACTAGGAAGGCATCGGTGTGCTTCATCCCTGAGCAGGGTCCAGCACCTCATTGAGGTTCTCAGATAGAACTCCAGCTCAGGAGTGCCCCATGGCCTGAGAGTCTCTGGTCTCTCCCCTCGGACTTTTGCACTCAGTGTCCCAGTGAGGCATGCCCATCTCCATTTCTGTCGCAAAGTGGTTGCTGTTTCACAGAACAGAGTTCCCTGGATGAACGTTTCTAGGCTCCAGTTGTGCCTCGGGATGTCTGACTGCACGCATACAGGAGCTGTTAGCTCAGAAAGCAGAGCAGATTGGTGGGCAGTTTATGTACCGAATGATCCCTTTTGAGAGTTGGTAAACCTTATCTCTGTCCCTGGTGACTGCTCTGTCCTTGTCTCCTATCCCCACTAGGATGATGTGAAGTCATTGCTACGTGCCAGACCTACAGACTTGTGGCTATAGACTCAAAATCCTGAATTGAGCTGTAAGCAGGAGTTAGAATTCATGCTTGTTATTTGTTATGGAACAGAGCTGTGACCATTTCACAGCAAAGCTCAGCAGCATGTGCCCCGGTGGTGTTTGCTCCCTCCTGGTTGGAACCTTGGAGGATCCACTGTCGCCAGCTGCTTACTTTTTCTTCAATGCCAATCCTCAGCTCTGCCCTTTGACATCCATGCTTGCTCCAGGCCACAGCATCCATATAGGCATCTCTGTCATTCATGTTCTCAATGGCGTTTCATTGGAAGATGAATTGTACTAGGGAGAGAGTCATCCAGAAATACATGCTCTTGAATTGCTTGTATTGTTCCCATAGACAAGAGGGAGATTATTCATGAGCAACTCTTAGAATAGCCAAGATTCTGTGTGGCATCAAACAGGTTTCAATTCCAGGGCATCAGACTCCATGCATAGCTCTCTCCCAGTGTTCTACCTCCTCTCCACAGTCAGCAACCTGGGTCCTTTAATGAGAGCAGCCAGATGAACTGCAGTTTGCTCCTAGGAAGTTCTTGGGCTGTGAGCTTAGAATCCCTGAGGACCATTGCAGGCAGTTTCTAAGGGTTCTGGACAGAGGTTATTGAGATGCTGATCAACTGTGAACAGGGAGATTTGACCCCTTGCCCAGGATGGCTCACCAAGCCATCTCCTGAGTCGACTTAGTCCTCCTGGAGGACTTTCTGTCACAGTCTCCTGTTCTCACATGAGAACAATCTGTCCCCTTGATAGTAGTGGCCATCGGTAACCTCATATCTGACCTAAAACCTGCTTAACCTGTTCAATCTCTCTGAATTTGTTTGCAGAAAATCAATATCACGAAGTGGACTGGTACCAGAGAAACTGTCACATACACTTCCAGGTAACTTGGAGGCAGAGCAAACAGTGGTAGCATGGACTACTACGGAATTGGTAGCAGTCTTCCCAGATAGGGACAAAGTTGTGGTGGCCCCTTGCTCAGCCCAGCCACTTTCTGGAAGCCTCCTCTTGGAACAGCTTGTAAAGGGGCTTTCTGTTCCCTTTCTGTTTCTCACCCACCTTTCCCTCCCTCCCGTCTCATCAGGGAGATTCCAGAGATTGAAGATCAAGATGTCTCACAAGGACTCTCACGTACGCTGTTTGACTCTAGCACTTCTTCCCGGAAGCTTCTGATGGTCCCATTCTAGGAGCACCTGGTCTCACTGGAGAAGCAGCCTGTCTGCTCTGCTCTTGTTGTAGACAGTGAGTGCTCCATTGTGAACGGGGACACTCCACTGGCTCTCCCAGGTTGCCTCTGTAGTCTTGGGTTGGCTACACCTGTGTGAGTGAGACAGGACCACTGTGCACTCAGGCCCTGGGCACTTATCTCAGTCTGGATGGGCTTCTTGGGTGGAGTTTGTCATAGTCATCCACGGGGGAATCCCTTGGCTGTCACCAGGCCCACTTTCAAGGTTGCAGCTTTTGACGTCCAAGATAGGGAAGGAGGGAATGGGAAGGCATGGATGGCAAACACTGAGCCACCACCATCTCTCTGGAGAGGCTTCTTTAACCAAGTCACTGTGATGTTCTTAATTTTAACAACAGTTGCAATTGTACACAGCATCCTCCAAACTTCTCAGGCTTAAAGCTTTGGCAGTCTGTACTGATGTTTCCTTAGTTATCTGATACTAGGTATCCTTGGTTGGCAGATTCTCTGTTTCTCTGAAGCAGCTTGGTGCTAACCACAGCAGTCCAGTCCGCACCTGTGTCCATGTTGTGGTTTCACTTCTGCTTACAGCACTGACTTTGTGCTCACTATGAGGTCTGTAGTTTTTAATCCAGTGTCTAAACTCAGCATTTATTCTCATGCAAAGCTTCCATAACCTTGCACCAGGACAGGAACTCTCTCAGTATCTGAGTGAG